TACCAACCAATAATTCCTGCTTTTTTTTTCTTTTCCATTCCATGAATATTAAATGTCCCGATGGTAAAACCTTTATAAGCGATTGGGGGCATTTACAAGGTTATAACTATCAACCACCCGAGCCAATAATTCCTGTTTTTTTTTTTATCTTTTTCAAGATTTCATAAATTTTAAGAGTCCCAATGTTAAACTTTTAACCGATGGGGTATTTACATAAATTTTAAGCGCCCCAATGATAAAAATCTTGATAAGCGATTGGGGGCATTTACAAGGTAACCTTTAGTGGTTTACAACCAATTCAATCTTTGGCTCCTTCGCCGGTAAAATGGCTTAATTACTAAAGTTGTCGTGGAGATTAAAATTTAATTAACTTTGCTCTGATATTATTTGCTAATGAAACAATGCTAGGTCACAACGGAAGCCTTATAATCTGCTCCTTCTTTTTACTCTTTTGTAAAAATGTATCAGAATTGGACAGACGAACTCATTAATATTTCTACAAGTTTTCCAACTGATTACTTATCTAAACACAAAATATTGCAAACACATAAAAAAAATACAAATGCCGAAAATTAATTTTAATTTCTCTCCATGGTGACATCTGTGCATATTATTATGACTTCTATGAAAAGTTTCCTTTAAAAAAAAAAAATTAAATAAAAGTCTTGAAAATACAAATGGTCAGCCTTGGCTACACTAATACTTTTCTTCTTCTATGTGTCTCGTCCTTTAGAACATAGACGATCATGGCTCTCCTCAATTTCCTCTTTCGTGTGGCTCTTAGCAGTTTTTCTTCCTTTGAGAGGATCTCCGCCATCCATACACGCATGCTCGTCATGTAAGTGACTCACTGCCTTTCTCTATCTCTCTGGCCTTCGAAAATCGCCATTTTAATTTTCTTTTCTGTATGTTCAAACGGATATCTTCGAAAATCGCCTGTTGAGTGTTGGGTTTTCCAAGCTCGCCTTCCACATTGAATTCTAGCTGTCTTTTTCTGATTATGAATATAAATCAATAGCTTCGTCCACCGCAAGGAAAGTCGGCTCCCTGTGCCTTGCCAGGAAATAATTTTTTCTCGCCGAGGTCGATCCTTCAAATCTACAAATCAACCATTCGCCCTTCCATGGAGTATTGCTGCCATATATGGTCTGGAGCCCCTTCTGTTTGTCCCAAGGTTCTTGATTAAATCGAGATTCGGTTATGCAATGTAATTGGCCCTGATCTGGCATTTCATCAGCAGTCGCTCTCTCACAGACGGGCCGTCGCATCCCTCTGTCTTTTTTAGAAATATTTTCATGGTAACTACTCCGATGAGCTGCATTCGCTGGTTCCCAGACTTCATGAATTTAAGCGTTCTGCTAGGCTAGCATCTCGCTCTCACCCTTTCACTGTCGAAACTGTTCAAATGTAATGTCAATCGACGTCTCCAGATGCCCTGATCTATCCCCTATCCTTCTCTTCATCCTTTCCTCTATCACTCCTCTTTGCTTTCGCTCCAACTCTCTGTAACCCTTTGCGTGCTGGTAGCTTCCCGCCTTCCTTGGGGTGAAACGCTTAAAAAATATAAGCGTTTTTTTTTTCTGCTGCTATATTATTTAATACTTCAACGTTGCTTACTCTCACCGTCCATGGAATACTCATTTCTGTTTTCTCCTCATCCGTGGGGAGATTGTCTAACATTCACTGCTATATGAGAGGATAAATATTACATATCATGTTGGAATTTTTGGGTACCCTTTAATATTAGTGAGCTAGCCAAAATGAGATTACTCATTTTATAGTTCACCAATAGAAGGGTTAACCAATCAGAAAGCTCAAAATATTCAATCCGACGTGTATAAAGGCAGCCATTTTGTTTTTTCTTCAAAAATATCATCACTGCCAACCTCTGATATCGAAGACTTAAAGAATTACTTAACAGCTGCTATTTTCTCCGAATATTCACTGCCAACCTCTGATATCGAAGACCTGAAGAATTACTTAACAGCTGCTACTAGTGATATTGGCGTTGTTCCATTGAACACATTACGTACTGTACTGGATTCTATATTCAAAAACTACGGCAAACATGGTCAACATATCAATCCAACACTTTTTTTTTCTAACGAATTTTCTTTCTGTTTCTCAGCACCTTGCTTATCTTTATGAATGCCTATCTCAATGCGTGTTTGGATCTCGGAGTCACAGTTCCCTTCCTCTGTTAAAACGCTTCCCAGATATTTAAACTTCTGCACCTGCTTGATGCTTATGTCACCGATTCGTAACTCTCGTGTATTTTTATATAATTTTCTCATTCCTGTCATTCCTTGAAAATTCTTAGAAGGAACAAAACGTTAGATTCTCCATTTGTTTGCTTTTACATTGGGGTTAACAAAAACTATACTAAAATTTTATTTAATTTATTACAATGAATCTCCCTTCATTCCTAAATCAGCTTTCACCTGCCACACCCGACATAAGGGTGATTGATTGTAAATAATATCCAGTGCTATCTTAAGACTTCATTCCCTTTCTGTTTAGATGGAAGACATTCTAAAAAATCTTTAATCGGTTTCACCCCATGCAAGGCAGTAAAGCCACTAAGACACAAGAGGCTATTGAGTGTGGAAGAATACAGAAACATTAATAATGAGCGAGAAGAGAAATGTGTAATAAAGATGGCAGTAGAAAGCGATAGACATTGCATTTAGGTTTTTGCTGATTAAAGTTGTCTAGAAAGCATGGTTCCGGCAGGAAGTTCCACAAGCGGGAAGTGCGAGAAAAAAAACTCTTACTATATATGTTACGGCTATATCTAGATATCTTAACGTTAAATTGATGAGACTATGCCACCAGTTTACTATTGCGCTTAAATTCATAAAGTCTAGGTAATATAGCGAAGAGCTCATCCGAACAATTACCATGAAAGTATTTATATAAAAGACACACATTACGGCGGTGGGAAAGTGAATGAAGCCGGGATGCCAGGTCAGTACCAATAATATTATTGATTCTGTTTTTGTTTTTATCAAAAAGACCAAGATTAATAGCAAAGGCACCGGACCATATGTGGCAGCAATATCCTAAATATGGATGAATTGTAGATTTATAGTTACGCATGATAGATTCTAGAGAGAAAAATTGTCTCGCACGATACAGTGAACCAACTTTCGTAATAAGCTGGTCTAGCAGTGGATCAAATATAGTCTTTTCACTTCATGTCAGCTGAGAAAGTTAGCGCCAAAAATCTACAAAAGCAATAATTAGTTAGAAGCATGTCCCACCCAAGGTTAAATTTTCTCCCCAAATCTCCTTGTCTTTCTACCCTAACGTTGCAGTAATTTCTTGAAATGAGGGGTGGTCAGCTCATCTTCTCCTAGAGAGTCCTTTTTTTCCTCAAAATCGGCTGAGCTTATCTCGATGCACGGGTTTCCACTTTGGCATGATTTTTCTGAGTCGAAACATTGTGCTGCATTGATTCCTGGGTAAACGTCAAGGTAGTTTCACTTCGGTTAGTATGTCAGCAATTTCTTTCCAACCATAGATTAGTTGTCTCTTCATCAAAACTACTGGACGTGAACGTATTACTGAGAGGGTTCCAGTCGATTAATAATCAAGGAACCAAACCTTCGGGCAACTCTTCATGAAGCTGTGTTATCAAAATAATATTGGGTCTAACGATTTATGAATAAGACCTGGACCGTGAAACAATGTCCGGTATGATCTCTCGGTGCCGTGATGAAGTGTACAGTTACTGCTGTGCTTTTCGAGGATTTATCCGGGTGTTTATTGGGGTGCTACTGTCTCACTAATTCGATTCCTCATTACACCATACCAAAATATGAACAAAGATAACAAATAGAATAGAACTAGACCATCGAAACAAAAAGCATACCTTAATTTCTTCATTAAGAATGAATTCCCCCACAGCAGAGACGCCAAAATACGATGACATTGGCTTAACATACATGTTGTCGCCCCAGGGATCTCTTCTTGCTCCTACACGTTTTATTTTGCTTTATGTTAATGTTATGGGGTCCTCCCCTTTTCATATAAGTGGACTCTACCAGTGTTACTTGGAGTGCTGCCGTTAAATACCCAGAGTAGACAGTCAGTGAGGGTAGTCGGAAAGAGAGGATATACGGCGAGAGAGAGAGAATATACGAACGCAGATAGTGTGAGGTAACCTCTTGTAGAAGTCAGTTACAAGCACGTAGACTCTAAGGAAGTCCTACTTCGAGACTGTATATATCTATCTGTATTTGCTACTAACCGCGTTCCTGGACTTACTAACAGTATTACTCTTTGTATGATTGTGTAAATACATTTTATTTCTTATATTTAATTATTGCGTTTGTCATTCCTTGTAGACCGAATTCATCTCGAAATCCACAACAGTTAACGATCTGCCTAAGAACATTCTCAGATTGTTGGAAAATCTATAGACCGATGATACCGCGGTAAATTGGTGAACTTCCAAAAATCTGAATGAACAGAGATTAAGAGCATACCTATCATCTGATCGAGCTTTCACAACTCCTGTCCTGGGTAAGACGATAAACATCATCCGACAGCAAGGCTTCTGATCAGGAGGTTTTGAGGATCGTAGAACCACCTATTAATTACTGGTGCACCCTAACTCGGTTTTGTTAGCACCTATTAGGGTCCCAGGTATAGTCAAATAGTTAATCCCCAAACTTGGGCTCAAAACACTATGAAAGTGTAGAAATTGGTTTTGATACCAGCAATACTTTTTTTTGTAAAAATTTATTACCAGCAATGAATTTTTGAAGAAAAAAATTATTACTAATAATAATAATTAGTATTACTAAAATAAATTATTACCAGCTATATATTTAAAAAAAAATATTACTAGCATTAGATTTTTGAAGAGAGTTGTCAACAATAGGTTTTAGAAATAAAAAAAAAATTCATAAAAATTACCAGCAATAAAGGTTTTGTCGGTATTAAATAACGCATTGAGGTTGATATGCAGTAAAACAAAACAAGCCAATATATACTTAGATAGATAGATAGATAGATAGATAGATAGATAGATAGATAGATAAAATATATTACTAGCGATAAAAATCTTGTCGGCATTAAATAACCAATTGTGGTTGATATACCGTAAAACAAAACAAAACAAACTAATATATACTGAGATAGATAGATAGATAGATAGATAGATAGATAGATAGATAGATAGATAAAATATATTACTAGCGATAAAAATCTTGTCGGCATTAAATAACCCATTGTGGTTGATATACCGTAAAACAAAACAAAACAAACTAATATATACTGAGATACATAGATAGATAGATAGATAAAAATATTACCAGCAATAAAAAACTTGTAGGTATTAAATAATCTATTGAGGTTGATATGCCGTAAAACAAACCAGACCATCTCACAGCTAAATAAAGAGAAGACTTAATTATATCATTCAATAACTTCAAAACGAAGCCAGTAACATTTCATAATTGAGCTTATCCTGAATTTGCTTTAATCTTAATGGGCCTTTGTGCTTTCAATGAGACTCCTTAACTCAAACGTCGAGTGTCATTAAAGTTTACTCCAGGCCCCAAGTGGAAATCTTATAATAGTAGAATAATTTCATTCGCATTCTTTTGGTAAGCAGTGCGTTCCACTCAGAGAGTTCCTTCCCCCACCCCGACACTTTCACTTCATGGAATAGACTCCCGAAAGGATGCTTCCACGAATATTACAATCTTGCCTTGTTCAAGTCTAAGGCCAAGAAATATCTATCCTACATATCCTCATGATATAGAGCTCGTCCTGCCACCTCATTTGCGTCCTTGCAAAAAATATTATTTAGTAACCCTCTAACTTGAGAGACTCTTGGGCCTTTTATTCGGTAAACAATAGTTTTAAAAAAGTGAATAACATATTAAGTAACTTTTGTTAGAAACAAAGAAATTATTGTGGAACTGTTTTGCAATATCATTCTTCCTATACAGCTTTGAATGCTGGACAATTTCCTTATAGAGGAAGATGAGACTTAACGCGACAAAACGTGATTCCCACAAAGGAATTCGAGAAATATTGTAGATAAGACAAGTGGGCAACAATGATGCTTTAAGGAAAATAGAAACTAAAAAGATGCTTGACATTGCAGAAGCATATTATGAGGAAAGAGAGTGTGGAGAATTTGATACTCACAGGAAATACTGAAAACCATCAAATCACAAGATAAATAAGCTTGTGTAAATGGATGGCACAAAAGGGAGAGTTATGGAGAGTAAATGGTCAATCAGCTGAGATTTATAATTGATGGGAAGTTGTGGAGAGCTGCGACCATCCACATCCTAAAGAACCGTTTTTGTGGCTTTTAAAATATACAAACGGAACATTAAATGAAAACCTTGATAGCAACTCTCTTTTATTGAACATAGGAGAATTCATAGATTTTAACAATAAAGGTTTCCATTTCTTTAACTTTATGTCAAATGGGATATTGAGAATCGTGTCTATCAAGATTTTGACATTCCGACGAAAGGTTTTCTAACAGAGGACGGAAAGTGAAACACTGAGATCTAAAGACGTATTGGGATAGACAAAGATGTATAACAAAATCTAAGCAGAGTAATAAGAGACAGAAAAAACTTCGTTAGAAACAAAGAAAAGATTAATGAACTGTTATGTGATATCTGTCCTTTTATGTGGCAGTGAATGCTGGACAATTAAGATGAAGAGAATTAAAGCAACAGAAATGCTGTTCTACAGAAGGATACTAAAAAAAACATGGCTTGAATATGAGAAATAAGACGAGGTTTTAGAGAAAATGGAAACAAAAAGGAAACATACTTAACATCAGGAAGCGACAGTTGAAATTTCAAGGGTACATAAGAGGGCTTGTAAAATCTGATACAGGGCAGATTGATGGCAACTTGAACAGAGGAAAACATCGGTTGACATACTTGATGAACTTGAGTAAATGTATGGCGGAACGGGGTTTAGGAGAGATTAACGAAAAGATAAAATACAGTGGGGCCAAATAAGTGATTGTACAGCAAAGAAATGCTTGTTATTCTCACTTATAGCGAATGAAAACCTCGAAGAAACAATGTTATATATGTATTTGGGGCATAAAATCAGTATCTGCAATTTAAAATTAGAAATTCATAGATAAGTGAAAGTTATGCAATTTTTTATATTTCGAATAGTGGAAAATGTATTCGTACAGTATTAATTTTTACATTATAATACGGTAGATTTTGGTTGTACTTCAAAGTAGAAGATTCTAAACTGTTCTAGAATATTCTCAATAACTCTTTTGCAACATTCAGTTCAAAATTGGATCATTCTGCAGTCACTTTTCACTGATAACGGTTCTAGTATTGGCTAGACGTAAGGAAATGACTTGTGCTCAAAAAGAGCTAATTATTAAGCTATGGAACAATGGAAAAAGTTACAGAAACATCTCCAGTGACACGAACATATCTTTTTCAACAATTGGTTCATTTATTGTAAGATTTAAAAGACGTAATACTGTTGAGAACAAAGGCAGACCCGGTGCTCCCAGGAAGATCTCTCCCAGATTACGAAGAAAGGTGATGCGACAGGTCCAAAATAACCCAATGGCCATCAGACAAGATCTTCAGAATGATCCGAGTTTGTCAGGAGTTAACGTAACTAAGCAAACGATTAGTAATGAACGGTATAAACTCGCGCTCCCCAAGAAAGACACGACTCCTTCTGAAACGGCATAGAGACGCCAGGTTGAAATTTGCGACAGAGGATAAAGATAAAGAAAATTCTTATTGGGAAAGAGTTCTTTGGACAGATGAGAGTAAAATTGAGTTGTCCGGTCGCAATTCCCTGTGTCATGTATGGAGAAAAGACGGCGAAGCATACGCACCCACGAACATCATACCAACTGTCATATTTGGTGGGGGTAGTATCATCGTTTGGGACTGCTTTTCGATACGAGGTGTTGGCAAACAAGCAATTATAGACGGTAGAATGAATGCAGGAAAAATATCAACAAATCCTAAGCGAAAATTTATCGCTTTCTATAGAGAATCTTGGGCTTCCCCCTGATTGGATCTTCCAGCAGGACAATGATCCCAAGCATACTGCTAAGGGTACAAAGAACTGTCTTGCAAATAACGTTAACATCTTACAATGCCCCAGTCAGTCGCTGGATTTGAATCCAATAGAGAATTTATGGCGGTTTTTGAAAAATAAGATCCGTGATAGAAGTCCAACAAATATCAAAAACCTGAAGACAATTACTCAGGAAGAATGAGACAAAATACCTACTAAAGTATGCAAATCGTTAATGAAAGACTACAGGAAGAGATTGGTTGCTGTTGAACTTAATAAAGGCTTTGCAACAAAATATTAAATGGAGAAAACATGTTTTTGTTCTGTTGTACGATCATTTTTGAAACCCCTAAAAATTTAAATATTGCTATATTTTCTTAACCATGGAATATTATTTAGTTTTATATGCTTATATTTTTAGTATGCAATCTGATACAGTAGATATATTCCCGTTTTGTTAATTTAATATATTACAAATAAAAATATGAAATATTTTCATCTGTACGATCACTTATTCAACCCCACTGTATATTATAGATCTAGAAAGGACAGAAAATTTTGGAGAGCCATCATCGGCTACGTCCTGAGGGTACATGGTACGTAAAGAAGTCTAAGCTAAAGGTTACATTTTACATTTTATTTATTTATTAAAATGGGCTTTTTCTCGGTGAAGGCTTCCAAAGCTAGCTTTGAAAATAATGTTTCATGCTAATTTGATTCTGTGAATATGTTTTAAGAGTCTTTTTGAAATCGTGAAAGAAATCTTCAAATTCATACATGCTTTTTTTTTCTTAGAGTCAAATAACAGAAGAATTGTGCCTAGGTTTTGGAAATCAATCCTCTCGTAAAAGACGTGCAGTGAATAGATAAGTAAAAAGAAAAAGGAATTTTACTTTGATTTGTTTAAGACGATAAAAACCAATAAACGATTTTCTTTCAGACAATTGTCCATTCTTTTCTTTTCCCCGGGACTTAATTAAATTCCGCGCTAAAAGCAATTTCAACAGAGAAGGTAACAAGTAAAAGTTAATAGCCGACCCGGAGGCCGCCGGAATCTCAGACTTAAAAAAAATTGAACCTATAGTCCTGAAGCTATGATAATTGCAGAAAATACTTCCTTTTTCTCTGTTCATATATATATATATATATATATATATATATATATATATATATATATATATATCTTTGGACTAAGGACTTAAGAAACTTAGCGATTTGTTTTGCCTTTTTTTTGATGTTTTTAGTTCTTTCTTTTTTTTCAAAATTTTTCCTCAGGTACCAATTTGCCCTCAGGTGTCTATAAGTTGAGTCATCCGAGGTTTCTCAAGCGAGTAATACTGTTAATATATATATATATATATATATATATATATATATATATATATATATGGGGGTAGTGGTGTGGGGTGTATACATACGTACATATACATATATATATATATATATATATATATATATATATACACATATGCAGGGTGTATCAGAAATACTTTCACACCAAAACAGAGACAAAAGTCCATATAAGCAAAGGTCTGCCAATCCTTCTTTTTGAGTTATTAAGTTTAAAATTTACGGTAGACGTCGATGTGTTGCCATGGAGACTACGTTACTGTTGTAGCATATCTACGGACGATAATGGGTATGTTCCCGCTGATATAAATACAGTAGTAAATACTGTATGTTGATCTGCAGTTGGCGATTTGTCTCCAGCTCTGCTGGTCACACTCTCTGGGTCTGGGCAGAAAGGATCCCTAGACGAGGCTATGTCAAAGGGCAGAGTCTCGTCTTGGGAAACAGCTACTTGACCCCGTTTTATGCGAAGTCTACGGGGAATTTTTGGCCGAGCCTACAGTTTCGGATACCCCACATTAAATTCGGCCTTGTGCCAAATCTGACCGCGTGTCGCTGTTGGTAGATATCTTGCAGTTGGAGTTTCAGTGTGAAATTCACATGAATCACTTCTATCAGTTGACTACTACTTCTACGCGCCGCTGGTAAATCTTATACGTGTTTTTCTTGTGCTATGCATTATCGTTCATTACCAACATTCGTTTGATTTATCTATTCAGTAACCTTCCTTAGGTTACAACAGTTACATTTGTTTTTCCTATACATTTGCGGTTACTCTACCTTCTACGTTTAACGTGCG